GTGAGCTGATGAACTGCCAATTTTTAACTTGAGTGGCAGCGATGGTCTTTCTAGCGTTGGTGTTTGAGCGGGTGGAGCGACAGTGGGGGTTTCTACTGGTGGATGAGGTGTAGGAACAGCGGCGGGTTTAATCTTGCGAACTTTGGTCCGAACTTTATCGGTGTGTTTGAAGACCAATCGACCCTGCATATGGTTAGTACAAAGAACGCTACCAGTAAGAATATCATATAACATACCTTGCCACGATGCTCGACCTTCCAATAACGAGGTAACTTTAGCTTCAACGTCAAAGACTCCTTGGGATAGCAGAACATTGTGCAGAGTTGAAGAAAATCCATTTGCTCTGCCACTGTGATAACAGGAGAGAGAACAGCTTTCCACAAGGCATTCTTCAAATCAGTATTTCCTCCGACTTCCAACTTGAGTGAAGCCAGTGCGCCAATTACGTTACTGCGCTCGGCTTGTTCCTGACGTGCAGTCGTGGAAGCTTCTTCGATGATCAAGCCATCCTTCGCTACAGGAGCGGCAACTCGTTTGTTTTTGTATTCGCCAAGTCCAAGGACTCCCAGTCCATAATAGAACACCTTTGTCAGCTCACTTCGGACCCAGGGTGATGGATCTGTGCTTGCAGCAGTCACAAGTAGACACGCTACAGCAGTGCTCTTCAGGAATCCAAGGTCGGCAAGTGCCCAAGCAGCCTTGATTCGCACACGTTGAGCACTGCCATCGTGCAAGTATTGAGCAAAGTCAAGTGCATCCACTGGTATCACACCAGCGTTCATCAACTTCAGCTTACACTCTATGACTGTGATTGTGTAGATATTCTGGTAAGAATCTAGCCATTCATCCATCCTACTATATCTTTCCAGCTCTTCCAAAATTATCGTTCGATAATCTGTATTTCCTGCCTTTCCTCCAATTTCTTCAGCGTCGTCAAGTTGAAGCACGTCATTATTGACGCCCTTTGCACCAGGAATCAAAGAGTTTGCCAATGACTTTAGAATATTCGCAATCTTGAAACTGTCTGAGTAGGGGTTATTTCCGTTGTCGTTGAAGCGAAGAGCCTCAATGATGAACTTTTGCGCTGTTGGGGGGCAAGTAGAATCGTACATGCTTCTGATTCTTGACACTGCGTCAATAATAGCGCATTCAATCCAGTAAGCTTGCTTATCAGAAAAGTCATTTGCCTTGGGCGTTTTTGCACCTGGAAAATAAAAGAATTCATGGTAAGCTTTTTCGAGATGCTTAAGGCCTATCCATTTTACATCCTTTTCTACTGCGTGCTTAGCAAGCGATTTTGCAGCCATTGCTCGAATGCCATAGAAATAACGCCTATCCATTAATGTTCTAATCAGGAACGTAGCAACGAGTGGATGAGGAGGAGCATTGTCAAGGTATGCCATAGATTCATATTGAGCCGAGATATCGCGATCTTGTTGAAGCTGGGAAACATACATGTATGCTTCCATGCCGGTGAATTTCTTGTCGCAAATCCATTCAAAGTCGGCGTCAACACGAATCCACTCATATGATTCAGCTTCCATCTTCGCTTCTGTGATCGGATCCCAATCCCGTAAACCCCACTCTTGCATATCTTGCGGTGACTGCAGTACATCCCCTAAACAATAAATGAGAGCATCGTCATGATTTTCGAGACCATCCATAGCGGTTCCTGCATTTGCACGTTCCTTCATACGCCGATTGCGCTTGAGACGCTTGTACTTTGTATTATACGGAATTTCAATTCTTGATGTTTTCTCTCTGATCATAACGATATGTTCATAGGGTGTACCATCAGCCTCATGAATTCGAATTGTCAACGGTCCAGTAAATGTACTTTGTGACTTTGGTTGATTTACTCCACTATCCGACTCCTTAAAAGCCCTGTAGAAGCCATCCTTGTGCAATTTAGGTTCTGTCTCCAGGTGTGCCTGAGTTTGTGTAATTGTCATTTCCACACACAATCTCTTCTTGTTGAACTTTTGGGTGATAGTAAAGTGTGGACATCCTGAGCTATGAACCCATTGAGTGAAAAAGGAATCGGTATCTCTGTACTTGGTAATTTTCTCACAACTTTTGCGGAACCCTTCAGTCGATATTGTAGCATCGGTGCCTCCATTAGCGTTTGCGTTAACAATCATTTTAGAAATGACTCTTGATATACCAGTGCCTCCTTGAGCTTTTGCGATACGCTTGTCAAGAATGAAGAGAACAAGAGGAGCTTTTAACTCCATGAAATCTCGGAAATCATCACATACATCCACAATCTCACCAAGGGCGTGCAGGGACGGTCGGTCAATATCCAACTTGACAAGTCGTTCTGTATTCAGTTTTTGACGAAACATGAATTCGTTGTTTCCACAAAGATTTTTCATAAAAGTGTTTGTCATGAAATGAGAAATGCCGGCTATGAGCCATCTATCAGAACGACGGTCTGGCACAATGCCAACGCCAACGTATTGGCTAGCAATGGCGTGAACCAGTTTTCTGACAATGTCCATCTCTGGATCGATAATATCTTCCGGAAATAGAAGTCGATTACTGCAAATAGATAGAGACGCGGTGTGTTCCGTGTCGTTAACCTGGTCATCAACAAAGACAAATTTTGACTCTGAAAATGGGAAACTGCCCAAACTAAGTACAAAGTGATCAATGGCATGAGCCAATGGTGCACAAGTATTCCTCAATTCCTCTGATCTCCTGGGTAGGCAGTAGCCATATATTGCAGTTGACTGACCTTGCCCAAGTCGTTCTTCATCTTCGCCCTCCCTATATTCTGACAAATCGACTTGTTCAAATGGACCAATAGAGAAACCTACATGTGTTGCAGCTATATCAGAAGTGCATTGAAATGATACAATCTTTTTGGAACTATCATCCAAATCAATCACTTCATCGACTTGTTCACCAGAACAGATCACTGTCATCTCAAGAAGCTTCTCTTCGTCGTTGAGGAAGACCTCATCAACATTTGTCTTCTGAGAAAGTGCATTTGTATGTCCTGATTTGTGGTTGTGGATGTTGGGTCGTCGCTTGAGTGCATCTCCAAGTGTTCTTGAACACTTGATGGAAATATCCCACGAACATCTCATCGCTGAATCATCAACACAGGGGAAGATACAGCATGCCACGCCTCGCTCTATAGAATGTTTGGTATAAACATGAGGGAATCTCACATCCCCCTCCTCAACTCCTACGAACTGTAGGCCATCTCGAATTTGTGTAGTAACGAAAGGAATAGTGACAGTCAAAGGCTTGAATCTAGATGCCTGTTCCGCAGCCGTCTTCGCGGCAAAAACAGGGAGAGGAGCTGAACCTCCTTCAAGCGCAACTGATGAATTACGGGCTGCAGCGACACCACCAGCACGTTGAGTGACCGGGGTTGCTGCCTTCTCCGAGAAAGGATCAATTTCTTCAATTTTCACACTATCCGGTAGCTCGATCTCTATCGTACCTTCTAGCTTGTTGTCCGAAGTCATGAACTTCACTCTTTCGCTTTGCATCTTATGCGATTCTGCATCCCATGAATAGTACTCGGGGACTTCCAATTTTTTGTGAGGATCCTCGTACGAGAAAGACGCAACCCGGCCATTCACCAAAACCTCTCTTTGTGGTATGGAGCATTGTCGTGCATGTATGTGTATGGTCTGAAGTTCTTTTGTCTGTGGAAGAATTTCAATGTGGGTTTTACCCCGCAGACTCTTTGTTGAAAAATCAATTTCGAGCTCGACCTTTTGATGTACTACTATGAAGCCATAGTCCGCAGGATCTTCCTTTGCGGTTGGCGCACCTTCACGGCCGTCGTGATTCAGTAGTAAAGCAGGCATTTTCGAAAGTATCTTATCGTGTTGCCACGTATCTTATGGTGAGATCGATCGTTCTGATTTGATTTGAACGAAGCACACTACTAACATGTGATTTATGCGACTAAGATCTTGCGCTGGCTGGTCTCCCGAAGGCGAGAGCCAGCAAGACTTGGAACCGTGCCGAACCAAACTACCTCCCGCGTATGTTATTCTCGCTATGCCTTATTGCTAATACTCTTGTTGTGTTGTGGACAAGTCACGATAATGCGACGCAGGAATAGAGGGCGTCGTCGTTCGTGGGATCGAGAGAATCGCAAATCGTGGCTCGTGAGATTATCGATTAGATAGTTGGACTTGCACTTCTAAAAGAGGAAAAGTTGGTCTGCCAAAATCGCGGCCGTAAGAAAATAGGCAGAAAATTACAAGCCGTAAGAGGGGTGTTGGAAAGAAAGTGATCGTTATGATAATTATTAAACTCTAGGTAGTGTGTAGCTATCGTGTCCCACCAATGACGAAGGTATCAAACTCTAGCTTGTGCGCGCATAAGAAATTTTGGCGAAGAAAAGTTGCGACTACGTGCGCAAACAATTCCTAGAAGTAAAATACAGTGATATCGAAATCGTACGGACGTGAAAACGGCTGTCGCAGTTGTTGCGCATCGCCTTGATATTATTTATAAAGGTGTCGAGGAACGCGAGGCTGAGGCTGCTGTAGCTTTAACGCGCTAAGCGATATGCATCTGTAGAAGCGCGGCGGCTCCGCTTACTCATTAAACATCACAGGTGATAGACAACAATTCATCTCTCAAATTTAGATAGTATAGACGTAGCAGTTTGCCAACTTATTTTAGTTTGTTAAAAGCTGCATTGTTCACCTTGTATAGTGATCTTGACGCCAGATGTTGTCGATATTATATTGGTAAATCAACAATGATCCATTGAATCCACGATCATGATGTTTACTTCAAGTCAAAGGCTAGTTAGTGTATCTTGATTCTGCTCATTTTGTTCTCAAGACCAAACTACATTCTTCAGATGTCTCCTTCAACGCTTATTTCTCACACTCAACAAAATACACCGTTGAATCCAAAACCCTATCCCAGTACCTCATTTCTTCCCTTATCTCAGGGTCCATAGGTAAAGTAACACACAAATGCTTTTCCTTAGCAGCTGGGATCTATTAACCAAGTCCCCGCTACTGCCGCTGTTCAGATAGTCCTCGTGGCTTTTCGGTGACGAATTTGCAGTTCTGCAAAAATTGAGGAACATAGACAACGTTGTCCCGAATAAAAGCCTTCTGCTTTGCTGTTGCTTGATGGTGATATGCAATCTCGTCTTTAATGTCACCTCTATATGATCAGTATGCTAGGACTACTTATCATTACAAACTGTGATATCTTAGCATGTAAGCATACAACGAAAGACTTACTTGTGAATAAGGGAGATGCTCTTCCAGGCGAACAATTCAAGCATAGTTCCGGAACATTTTTCCAACTGCTCGTGTGATATCTTGTGGTACTGCGGCTGCCCAATCTCTTTCAACGATCTGTTTTCCATTTCTGTATGGCGCATCAAAAGAGTGTATGGAGCTCTTGGTCTGCAAGAATATATTCACATATTAGTATTCCATTATTCAAGGTTTTATTCAATTGTGAGTGGTCGAGTAAGGTCTCCCTCTTGTGCTGCTACTCACTTCCAAATCACGGTCCAGTCTTCGCAATCTCCTCTTTCTCATGTTCCGCCGTCGTAAATCCAAGAGAAGCGCCAACACTGATTTCGTGTGGCCATGGATCATTAAGCGCAACTGTGCGTGACCAATTATCGAGTAGATCATGGATATATTCTACATCACTAACCATATTTAGCGTGTTCGAGGATTACAAACCATGGGCTGTAACTGAAAGAAGGTATCAAGTGTTAACTTGAAAGTGATGCTAAACACTGCTATGTAGCAGTCCCTGCTCGGCTTCATATCTGATATAGTGAGTAGCAAGGTCTTGAGGCCACTGGGTCTCATTATTCGCGCTTATATCATCACTGCCAGATGTCCTCAAAAAGCAATCATACCATTTAGCCCAAAATGAATTTATTATCCAACTTCCACTTATTGAGCAACAGGAATTTATCTCAATTGCAATCTCCTGTTTCAGGAATGAATGCAGTCAACATGTAGATTGATTTAACATGATAGGGCGAGAAAAGGAGAGGTGGAACAGCGAGCTAAGAAACGATGATATGTGCATGTCATATGCGAGAAGCCGGCGAGTCTGGCGACAGAGTATTATACACATCCGGGTATCAATCACTCACACAGACACGACTTTTATGGTTTGATAATGATCAGACATTTCGAAGACAGTAACTTAGTATTCATCTAACATAACTTTGTCTTTCAATAGTTCGATAGTAATGTACACATTATACAAGTAATGTTAGCAAAGGTCAACAAATATAACTCCCCAGGACCAATTTTCCCTGGTCATGCATACCCAAGCCACCCAAACCACCATATTGTACATCCCAAGTCAACTGAAGCACTTTCGAATTGACATTTCTCCTATACTCCCAAGCCCTAAAATTGCCCAGAATTACATATTCAATCTTTTGCAATTCTCCTGTCTCTTCGCTTCTTTCTTGCATGGGTCTTCAATGTTTCCTCATCAAGGAATTCCGCCGGCAAGTCAAATTCAGCTACTTCTGGAAGTTCAGGGACAGGATGTCCCCAGGCGGCAACGGTTCTACCACTACGCCTGTGCTTTCCAAGTGCTGCTTCGCGCAAATATGGTTTTGCGAAGAATGATTTGAATTCTCTCTCAACAACAGGTGCACCAGCAAGCACAGAGTTTGTTCTAGCCTTTGGTCGAGGAGTAGAATTAGCGATTGCCTCATCGTGCAGTTGTCTTGCTGCAGAAGCATCGATGTCACTAAGGTCAGGAGGATCACCATTACTTTCGAGATCATCCCCCGAGTCCTCACCTGCTTCTGATTCTGCCTCAGCTCTTGCTTGTGCTTCAGCTATGGCGCGTTCTTTCTTCAACTTTCTTTGCTTCTCGTCATCTTTCCAGATCCGGAATTTTTCAAGGATCGACTCGCACCCTTTAACGAAGTATTGTCTTGCCGATTCGAACTCCTTCTTCCTACCCTCAGTAATGCCACTAACTCCGAGGGTCTTCAGCCAGTCCGGCCCTTGTAGGCCTTCCATCAGTCGAATGACTGAATCTCTCTCATGTTGAGCTCGGCTTTTGTCTGCGTTGCGCACAGCCTTCTCTTGGCGTTCTGGTCGTTTGTGGAGTGTCTTGAAGTGCTCCTCCGACAGAGGGTCCTCATCGCAGTCCATGGGAGTAAATTCGGAAAAGTCCACCTTGTGTGTACCATGGAGATTGGTGAAGAGAGAAGATGGGTATTCTTTGACAGCATACTCAGTGTTCGATTCCTTCTTCTTGGTGGTACGCAGAGGTTTGGAGGATGGTTTGGAGCTATCGATGATGATGATGGGCGTATCGACGTCTAGGAAATCTGAAAAGGGGAGTCAGTTACCATTTGAAGCACCAATTTTCATAATAATAATAATAATAATAATAATAAAACTCACGTTGTTCCTTGGGAACATTTCCAATAACTTCATCGTACTCTGGGAAATATGCAGACAATTCACTTTTGAATTTTGTCCCTTCTTGCGATCGAAGCTTCCGCCTTTCATCCTTCAAGTCGGCCTTGTCCGCCTGTAAAAGCTTGTCTTGTAATCTATCCAGCTCGTGTTTGATGCCATTGGCAACTTTATTCTGATGTTTTGTAGGAGGAGGAGGAGGAGGTGGTGGTTGTTGTTGTTGTTGTGAATTCTGGGATGGCAGATGTGCTGTTCGTACATCTGCTGTTGTTGCTATTTGTGGATGTTGCACGGAGTTCGCAGAGTCGGGATTCGCGTTCGATTTGATGACGCCTGATCGTTTTCTTGGTGGAAGCGATTTTAATTTTGGAGCTGGTATCTCGATGGCGAGCTTTGATTTCTTCGCCTTGGATAATAGATGATCGTCGCTGTCAGCAGATTCTCGTGCCCGTTTCCTGCCATTAATATTGGAATGGGAGTATGTGTGTGTATACGATCCAAGGTTGTGGTTGACGCCTGGAGTCATCGCGATTGTGTTTCCAGATAAACTTGTGAGAGCTTCAGATTTTCTTGTAGTTCTTCTGCTTAAAGACATTGAAGAATATGATGTTCGCAGATCATATTATTTGATTGAAACTAAAAATTCAATGTAACTTCAACTAAATATTAGTGTCTGGAGATGTAATGTCTGGTACGGTACGGGCAATAGCAAGCGACCAGTTCAACTTTGGGGACTTCTTCACACGCGCAGGGAAGGTACAATGTTATTGTACGGCAGAAAATAAATTTTCAATTGATCGCGAAAATATTCTTTTTCTATTTGTTTGGTATCTTGACCAAAAGATTAAGAAGAAGTATTTGAAGATATAGACTTATTAAAGAAATGTAATTGTTTTGTTCAATTCAATTCAATTCAATTTTTGAAGATTAATTATTATATTATCGATCGTCATTTCATCATTATGGGTAACACAGATTTATTTATAATCCGTACAGGACAGGACGGACAGTACGTACAACGTAGCACACACCACTAGCATTTCCACACGCTAAAATCGAACCACCGTATGTACTGAGCTATTGTATATGTAGGAAGCAAGAAGATCGGAGGCTAATTTATATATTCATCGATATCTTTAACATCCGCCCTGGATCAATCAAGCAGCACAATTAACAAACGGATTGTGCTATATCGTGATAGCGCATGTCATTACAAACTAAAAAGGGGGAAAGGGGGCTAGCAATACTACTGTCAAACATATCTTGGAAAAGGACAGTTGAGATGGAAGACTTCAAGTCATGGTACTTGATTGGGGTCTAGTATTTATGACTACTTTTATACATACATGAAGGTTTCAAAGAACTCGATATGGGAAATCTTAGAAACTAATAAGAGTCATACTTGGACAATGTAATTGTTCTTGTCCAGATAAGTCCAAGAATCTACAGTAGTGGTCACGGTTATAATTCAAAATGTACAAAATGTAGAACAGGTTCAACTTTTTGAGCTCTGTAGCAAGTCTTTGCTTGTATGATCTGAACTCCCTTTTTCGTCGTTATATATGTTGGTAGCTGTAGCTCAATGCTGTTTCCCACTCTCAGATGTAGTATGCCGGCGAGAAGAGCTTTCGAGTAATCAGGACCTAATCTGCGATCTTTCTCCTCAAGAACGTTGCTGCGGTTTCTATACATATCAATAATCGCAGGTAGCCATCTGATGAGATTGAACAGTTGAGTAAGCACGGGAACATCACACCGTCGAAAGCCGTAGCGGTCACCATTATGTGCAACGCGCATCCAGAGCAGTTGAGATCACTCCACGAAAGCATACTGAGAAGTGTCATTCATTTCACAATTGCAAGATGGATAGCGCTCGACTGCCCGAGCTACATACTTATCCAATCATCTGCGTATATGATGTTTCAATTGTGACATGGTCAAGACGAAAAGGGCGCTCTCACAGTTATTTGTACGGGCATGTTGACCACAACATTTCCAGCCATCCTCGCATACACTACCATCATTCTTATAAACATAATGTTCTATTCTCTTCTATACTCAGCTCTGTGCATTCATAATTCAACCCAGGTATCCGCAATATCTCATCCACATACTTTCTTTTACATTTATCAGCCTTTATTTCACGGTAAATCATTGTGTACAATCAATGAAACCCGAGTGTATCTTTCTAGCTACTAGACCTCTCCTATTTCCACATTGAACGAGACGGTTTTGCTCGCAGCGGTTTGAGACTATGATTTTAGAGAACTCGCTTTACCCAGGATATGCAATGAAAACGTGTTCATAGGAGCTACTTCCCTTCGCCATAGAGTTGAGATTATGTACAGAAACTATGCATAGTAATTAACATGTGGTCGCTTTACTGAGAATTGTTTATGACGCTGATGATCAAGGCAAGATTCTACGTGTTCCTGTACGCCGACATATGTCACCAACGCCATGATCTAACTAGCACAGCATTGCAGGATAAGTTGTTGAAATGAATAGACTTTCACTTTCCATCGCCCCTTTCCATATACCGAAGTTAAAACTAGGCGTCCTCAGTTTTCCTCGTCTCTCAACCTCACTGCCGTGGATTCAGACCAAAAGTATGGATCAACATACAGTCATAGATTTTCAAGCATCGAGAACTTTTATGTCTAACCGGCCTAAAAGCCGACATGAAAGCAGTAATTCAGCTAGCGTGCCTGACTGTGACAAATGATTATGCAAATCCAAATAAATATTTGGCCAAGGTTAACAGGCCAACTATAGCCTCAAGAAGAGAAAAAGACTGTGAAGCGAAATATAGGAGTAAATGAACGAATCCTAGGCTTGTGTGGACGATAGTCGGGTCTTGGAGAGTTGTCATTGAGCCTCAGAAGCCCATATGAAGCAAGCTACAAGTTGCAATCGAAATATCGGATGATTGGTTCTCCCTTTCAGTTCTAGGATTGTAGGATGAGTATCAACAACTTGTTATTTCTCGACCAACGAATATGGCAGGACAAGCCCTCAAAGATTCGATACCAATCGATGAAAGCTCGATGTTTTCCGATGTGGCGTTGGTAAGGTTAAATGCTGTATATTCAACTACTGCGTAGGTATTCCCTACCTCCTTTGTAATTTTCTTGTTTGATCCAATGGAGGGGTAGGTGATCAAACAGACGCATTGTCCCAGATTATGTAGGGAAGAATGTTATGAACTTATAAGACATACATTAGTGTTTAGCGCCATTCATTTCCGTGGCA